ACTCTCACACTCACACACAACCCAAGGGAGCAGCTCGTATCAGCTGTCTAACTCCTTGGTATCTATTTACTGCTAGGTGAACAGAAGCATCAGGGTGAAAGAAACTTGGCCCATTTGTTTCACATACAATTCTGTGTGATGTAGTCCATCATGCCTTGGGCCGTCTTTCCTCTGAGATCTGTTCCCGAGTTATATATATTAGGAATTTTCACATCACCTAATAGTTTCCCTTCCGGAATGCCAGCCTCTTGTTTTCTGGGCCCTTCCTTGAGTATATTAACACTTCTTCGACCAGATACTCAAACATCGGTACGCTGTCATTGCTCATTCCCACAGGGGCTTCAAATCCTATTTCCCTTATGTTAGAGTCGTTCAGAGTTAAGACTAGGTCGAGTTTTGCTGGTTTATCGTTGCCTCTCATTCTTGTGGATCCCCCTGTCATGCTGACTTAAAAAGTTCCCTGTCGCCACCTCCAACAGTTTTGCTCTCCTTGTTCCCTCACCTCAGGGTGGTTCCTTGTTTTCCCAGTCTATCCTTCGATTATTGAAATCCCTCATGATGAGCAGGTGGGATCTATTTCTCCAGGCAACAGAGCCGCTGCTATCTCAATTATAGTGTTGACTGCCATGTTCTGTTCAGTCATACTCTTGCCTCGGTCTTCTGTCGTTTGGTGAAGGGTTATGTATCACTGCTATTATTACTCTCAGTCCTTCCATTGGCATGGTGCCTGTCATGTAGTCTCTGAACTCCTCACAGCCTGGGATAACCATCTCCTCGAAACTCCATTCCTTTCTTATCAGTAGGGCCACTCCCCTCCCTCCACTTCCTTCCCTCTCTCTCCTTATTACAGTGTAGTCCTGGGAAAACACCGCATTCGTTATGATTCCTGAGAGTTTTGTTTCCGTGAGTCCAATTACTTCTTGTGCTCTTTCTTTCCTTAAGTTCACTTGCCTTCCTTGTAATCCCATCTATGTTCGAGTACATTACCTTGAAACTGGCTCTCTTCATTCCATCCTCAGTTTCTGTTGATTTCACTTGGGGTAGTGGGACGCGTGGTGTCTGGGTGGGATGGCTTAGGGAGGAGGACTTGGGGGGGGGTCTGGGGTGAGATGGGGCTGGGAAGATCCGGTATGGGGAACCGAGGAGGTTGTGTAGCTGAGAGGGTCTGGGGTTGGGGGTCAACTAGGGCTAAGGATGGGGTGCAGAAGTTTTCAATTAGGGATCTGTATATGTGGAAAGGGGGATGGAAGTCTTTGGTTGGAGAATGCTGGGGAGCCTGGAAAAGGGGGGGGGGCTGGGAGAGCAGGGGGTTAGGGATGGAAGGGGAGCCTGGGATGAAGGGCATGGAGGAGGGGGGGGTGAGGAAGGAGAGCTTGGGGAGAATGTACTGGGGAGGGCATGAGGTGTGGGAACAGGGGTGACCTGGGATGGGGAAAGGGGGGTGGGAAAGAAGGAGGGCATGGAGGGAAACATCGGGGTCTTGGGGGTTGGGGAGCAGGGAGGGCATGGTCTGGGCTAGGTCTCTACTGGTTGGGGGGAAATGATCGTGGGGTGGGATAGCGGGAGGTTTCTGTAGTATTCCTCCCTGGGGATGCTGGCCTGTTGTTGAGGGGATTCCCACTCCACTCTGAGGTTGCTGGAGATACTGCATCAAGTCCTGTGTCTGCCCCGTCCCCATCCCTCTTCTTGCGTTTCATCCTTGCTTCTGCAGCCTTCCTTCGCTCTTCCCCGCGTCATGTCCCTCTGCAGAAAAATTTCCTTGAATCCCCCCTAGTCTCATGAGCTTGTTCTTCCTTGACAGGATTTCCTGCTTTGTTACCTCGTTCGTTACCACTAATTTTATTAGTCGTTTCCTTTCCTTCTTGTAGGCGCCCAGTCTGAAAACCTTCTCTATGCTGCCATTAGCCCCTGCCATATCCAGGCCCTCCAAGACCATTGTCACCATGCTCTGTCCTTCCCCTTCCACTGCTCCCAGTTGGCTCCTTCTGGTTCCTGCACTCCTACAACTATAATAGATCTTTTTTTTCCAGCATTTGGGTCGTACACATTGCAGCTTCCTGGGAAGTAGTTGCTTTCATAGCTGCTTTCTCTATGACAGCCTTGGCACTGTCTGTGTGTGTGTGTGTATACTCACATATTTGTACTCACCTAATTGTGCTTGCGGGGGGTTGAGCTCTGGCTCTTTAGTCCCGCCTCTCATCTGTCAATCAACTGGTGTACAGGTTCCTGAGCTATTGGGTTCTATCATGTCTTCACTTGAAACTGTGTATGGAGTCAGCCTCCACCATATCACTTCCTAATGCATTCCATTTGTCAACCAATCTGACACTAAAAACGTTCTTTCTGTTGCACATTTGGGCATTCAGTTTCCACTTGTGTTCCCTGGTGAGTGTGCCCCTTGTGTTAAACTGGGTGTCTTCATTTACCCTATCAATTCCTTTAAGAAACATGTATCTGGTGATCATGTCCCCCCTAACTCTTCTGTCTTTCAGCGACATGAGGTTTAATTCCCGTAGTCTCTCCTAGTAGCTCATACCTCTCAGCTCGGGTACTAGTCTGGTGGCAAACCTTTGAACCTTTTCCAGTTTAGTCTTATTCTTGACTAGATATGGCCGCTGGGGCTGCATACTCCAGGACTGGCCTGACATAGGTGGTATACAAAGTTCTGAATGATTCCTTACACCAATTTCTAAATTACGTTCTTATGTTGGCCAACCTGGCATATGCCGCTGATGTTATCCTCTTCATTTGGGCTTCAGGGGACAAGTCTTGCGTGAAGTCAACCCCAAGTCTTGTGTGTGTGTGTGTGTGTGTCTGTACTCACCTCACCTATTTGTGCTTGTGTGTGTGTGTGTGTGTGTGTGTGTGTGTGTGTGTGTGTGTGTGTGTGTGTGTGTGTGTGTGTGTGTGTGTGTGTGTGTGTGTGTGTGTGTGTGTGTACTCACCTAATTGTGCTTGCGGGGGTTGAGCTCTGGCTCTTTGGTCCCGCCTCTCATCTGTCAATGTTGAGTGTGTGTGTGTGTGTGTGTGTGTGTGTATTCACCTAGTTGTGCTTGCGGGGGTTGAGCTCTGCTCTTTCGGCCCGCTTCTCAACTGTCAATCAAATGTTACTAACTACTTTTTTTCCCCCACACCACACACTCACACACACACACACACATACATTCCCAGGAAGCAGCCCGTGACAGCTGACTAACTCCCAGGTACCTATTTACTACTAAATAACAATGCATTAGGGTGAAAGAAACTCTGCCCATTGTTTCTCGCCGGCACCCGGAATCGAACCCGGGACCACCATAGAATCACGCGTCCAGCGTGCAGTTCGCTCAGCCATCGGGCCCTTTACATACAATGTAAAGTGTGTGTGTGTGTGTGTGTGTGTGTACCTACCTCATTGTACTCGCCTATTTGTGTCTGCAGGATCGAGCATTAACTCTTGGATGCCGCCTTTCGAGCATCGGTTGTTCACGGTAATGACTATGGTCCTATTTCCCTATCATACCTAGTTTTAAAATTATGAATAGTATTTGCTTCCACAACCTGTTCCTTAAGTGCAATCCATTTTCCCACTATTTTCCATTTTCTCACGCTAAAAGAAAACTTCCTAACATCCCTGTGACTCATCTGAGTTTCCAGCTTCCACCCAAGTCCCCTCGTTCTGTTACTATTCCGTGTGAACATTTCGTCTATGTCCACTCTGCCAATCCCTCTGAGTATTTTATACGTTCCTATCATGTCCCCCCTCTTCCTTCTTCTTTCTTGGGTCGTGTATCACAGTTCCCTCAGGCGCTCCTCATACCCCATCCCTCGTAACTCTGGGACGAGTCTTGTTGCAAATTTCTAAACCTTTTCCAGTTTCCTTATATGCATCTTCAGATGGGGACTCCATGATGAGGCCGCATACTCTAAGACTGGCCTCACGTAGGCAGTGAAAGCGCCCTAAATGCCTCCATACTTAGGTTTCTGAATGAAGTTCTAACTTTTGCCAGTGTAGAGTACGCTGCGGTCGTTATCCTATTTATATGTGCTTCATGAGATAGATTCATTGTGTACTGTCCCTTTGGTCTCCTATTTCCTAGTCCCATTTCCATAACTTTACATTTACTCGTGTTGAACTCCAGTAGCCATTTCTCTGACCATCTCTGCAACCTGTTCAGGTCCTCTTGGAGAATCCTGCAATCCTCATCTGTCACAACTCTTCTCATCAACTTTGCGTCATCTGCGAACATCGACACACACACATGTGTGTGTGTGTGTGTGTGTGTGTGTGTGTGTGTGTGTGTGTGTGTGTGTGTGTGTGTGTGTGTGTGTGTGTGTGTGTGTGTGTGTGTGTGTGTGTGTGTGTGTGTGTGTGTGTGTGTGTGTGTGTGTGTGTGTGTGTGTGTGTGTGTTTGTGTGAGGGGTTTTGTTTGTGTGAGTTTCTCTTAGCCACGGTATTTCTGTGAATTAATTCCGCAGAAAATACTGACAATCCATTACTAACACACTTAATATCTCCCCTCCCCCCTTTCTCTAATTCCATACCAGGATCAGTTATTACCAGTTGTTAGCTGGCGTATATTCAAGTCCCACCTGGAAAATAAACAAACTCTAATTGCCAATTCGCTGAAATACTTTTTTGGGGGGATAATTCATTGTAAACATGAAATTTTCACCTTGGGCACAATTTCCTCCTGCAATTGGCTTAGGAATTTGGTAATGCTTTTTGCAATATTGACTTTTATTGTGTTTATGTATTGCTATTCACCTCTTTGGCCGTTTGTATAATAAATGTATAATATTCGCCGTTTGTGCTATGAATTTATATACTGCTAGTGTGAATAGCTTACCACATTCTTCCCACTCGAGTATGTGGGACCGTCTTGAGTATTATTATTTGTTTCTTTATGTCTCGTATTCATCTTTGTCTCTCTTTCTCTCTCTTCCTCTTCCACTTTCTATTATTCTTTGTTCTTCTACACATTTCGAATCACGTTTTTTTCTCTTCGTTGTTCCCGCAGGTGAAAACAAGTCACTGCTGTACTCGCCCCTCATCATCATCTTCCTCAGCATCGTGGGCGTCTTCCTCACCCTCATCGTCATCCTCGTCCTCGTCACTCGCTGGAGGAAGACTTATTCCACCACCTCCACCTCCTCCTCAGCCACCGTCGCCGCCCAGTCCACCGACCCGACGCAGGCGGAATCTACCGAAGACCGTCCTGGGAACGAAGAAAACGAACCGCAGAAAACGAAGCCCAAGAAGAAAGTGGTGGTCATAGAAAACGGAACTAAGGACAGGATTGGCCTGGGGAATGTTTCGATTGATGTGACATCCTCCAAAGGTTCGTCTTCATTGAGCTAAAGACATTATCCACCTTTGTTTTGCTTCCCGTAAGTAATAAAAACGTACGTGTCCCGAATAGACGGTCTAAGACATTGTGTATAATGTCAACAATGGGGGACTAAAACAAAGAGGGCTTCTTTGTGTTTCAGCGTAATCACTGTCGTATTTGTTTATATAAATTAGTAGAATTAGCTTGTACTGGATTACATTGTTTTTGTGTGTGTATATGTATTTTTGGGGGATGGTTTATTGTGTGTATTGTCGCGTGTGTATGTGCGTGGCTGTATGTTTGTGGTGTATGCGTGTCTATGTAAAGAATGATGAAATTGTGTTTGAGTATTTTTCAAACGGCGTAAAATCTTGCATCTTATGTGCGTTTATGTGAATGTGGTTTTTTCTTGTCTAAATGTGTGCATGTTTTGTGTATGTAAATACATACACGTGTGTGTGTCTGTGCTTCCGTGCTTCATGCTTTGTAAATGTCTGTGTAGAGTCGTATATACCATTCTTTGCCAACATATTAAAACTGCTAAACTTGGAATAATCGAGCTATTGCTCCTCTCCCTTCCCTTTTAAAAAGCCACCAAGGAAACAAAAACTAATTCATATGTATCCTCCAGATGTATACAAATTGGTTCCAAAATATGTGACAATGATGACAATGTGAGCTGTAAGATTCCACAGTTACTTACTCCGGTTATATTAATTGTGAGCTTCATTATAACTTGAGGTTATACTCACCATTGATTTCTGTATATAGAATTTCCTGCACTTTTAGTTATATTATTGTTACTAAGGTTTTTTTTTTATTTGTCATATCTGGTGCTATAGCTATTTTTTTTTTATATATAATGTTGCCGCTTCCACTGAGATTATTCAACTGTCCATTTATGCCCTAAATATTATGGTTTTTATTCTTTCTCTAACGATTAGTTTAGGTATGGATATTTTGTTTTCGAGATATCTGAACTTCTTAAGATACTCAACTGGATCTTAAACAGCGACATCTCCCCCCCCCTCCCACACACACACACGCGAACACGCACACAAACACGAACACGCACACAAACACGAACACGCACACACACACGAACACGCACACAAACACGAACACGCACACAAACACGAACACAAACACGAACACGCACACAAACACAAACACGCACACACACACGAACACGCACACAAACACGAACACGCACACAAACACGAACACGCACACAAACACGAACACGCACACAAACACGAACACGCACACACACACGAACACGCACACAAACACGAACACGCACACAAACACGAACACGCACACACACACGAACACGCACACAAACACGAACACGCACGCACACACACAAAAACACGCACACAAACACGAACACGCACACAAACACGAACACGCACACACACACGAACACGCACACACACACGAACACGCACACAAACACGAACACGCACACACACACGAACACGCACACAAACACGAACACGCACACACACACGAACACGCACACAAACATTAAGATTAGGAAGTTGTTGTTGGTTTTGCATTGCACTTCAGTGGTTTGTCTTCAACATGTAAACATTTATCTTTGCTTTTACCATTTGCTGTGCTAAATATGATTTTTATATTCTCCTTTTCTATCTTGTTCCTTCTCTCTTGTCTACATTCCCCGCCTCCTTTAATACCTTTCTCTCTCCCTTCCACATTTTCTCCCTCTATCCATCAGTCCTTGTAGCCTTCCTTCCGTTCGTCTCCTCTCATCACAGTTTCTTCCTATCTACCTATCGTCCTCATGTTCTTATTTCTTCTCTTTCCCATTCCTTCGTTTCATCCTCCTTCCTCCTTTCCCTCACCCCCCTCTCTCCTTACGTCTCCGTCTTCCTCCTTCCCTTTCCTAACTCTATGTCTTCCTCCTACTCTCACCAACCCCCTCCCTCCCTCCCTCCCTCCCTTCCTTCTTTCGCTTCTCGTCTCAAGTCACTTTGTTCTCCTTATCATCTGTTCCCGTGTATCATTCCTTCCTTCTCTCTACCTATCTGTTTCCTTGACATCATTCTTAGGCCATCCTTGCCCCTCCCTGTCCTCCTCATCATCCACCACTTGTATGTATCACTGAAGACAGTTTACATTTGTAATATAACGTGTTTACAATTGTAATATATAACAGTTTACATTTGTAATATAACTTGTTATGAATCTTGCCTGAAGACACACCGTCCAGTCAGCCGTCTCAATTGATTGTAATCAAAGCACAATTGTCCTCAAAAGTTAAATTATTGTATGTGCAATGGCGAGGTTCTTCCTTTAGGTGTTCCCTATTGATCTTCGTCCGTTGGGATCTGCGGTGCTTACTGTTGTATTTATTTTTACACAAGTGGGTACAAGAACAGATGACTTCTGTTTACTGTTAGCAGGATGAGAGCTTTCCCTTCCCATATAGTAAGGCGTACCCAACTATATTTCCCTGGATCACGACCAGTTAATTGGTTGAGAAACCAGTACCCAAATGCTGCTTGGCGAGCAGGAGGCGAACAGTTACGAATTGCCGCCTAGTCAATTCTCCCTTTCCAGGACACGAACCCAGTCTAGATCGCATGTAACGCACGGGGCGAATGTGTTACCACTCCGCCACTGTGGGGACTGTATTCTACCCCCTGTCATTTATTTTCGAATGGTATTATCTGTCATGACCTAAACTTGGTTCATGTGTGGTAACCTTTTATTATGAGCAATGACCTGAGGTTCAAGACCTTTGGAATGTCGTAGCCTCTGGCGAGTCAAGGCCTTGACCATATCATGAAAACCTGGGCAATGCCATCAGCTTTATAATGCAATCACCTCACTGTATTTGACTATTGATGACTTTAATCTGCCATGATCTCCAGATCGTGCAGAGACTTGGTCTAGTCATGTTATTTAATCAATCACTACCTCTGACCTGCCAGAGCTACCAATCCATCACCTTCACGAAGCTGTGGGTCATCCATCAGTTGCTCTTGACGAAGCTGTCTTATCCATCACTTGGTTTTGACTCCAGATGCTGATCAACTTTTCAATCCGTCTCGTACGCCAGTCCGTCCTGACTATCAGTTCATTCATCCTTAATTTCTGTCCATGTCGTTTGTTACTCCGTCACACTTCCTAGTCCGTCTGAGGTGTAATCGTCAAATATTTATGTCCGTCGAGCAAGTCTTTCCGTCTAGCACTTTTGTCCACCATTCCCTTAATCACTAATCATTCTACTATATCAGAAACGTTCAAATATATAAGTTACCTTGAGCGTAAATTTAGAATGTATAACGCTTTATAAGGAACGTTTTCATCGTTGGTGTCTGGCAAACGTTTAGAACTGAAATGAGTAGTTGATACTTGATTAACAAACCACAACAAATCAGGTGAATCCCCTTGAATTATAATTTGTAGAGTGTTGGCCTGATTGGACAGAGAAGAGAAGTGAGGTGAAATGGGGGGAAGAGTAAGGAGAGTAGAGAGAAAGGGAGGGGAAAGGGAAGGGAAAGGAGGGGAAATGAAAGAGGGAGTGGAAGGGGAGGGTGAAGCCAAATAGCGGCATCTCAGGAGGTTTCTAATTTACATTTTTATCTCCCTTTCCGGCTTAAGTCTGTAAACCGCGGCCGTAAACCACAACTGTAAACCACGTCTGAAAACCGCGACTGTAAACCGCGTCTGTAAACCGAGACACGCAACGAATTAAATCTAAAAAAAAAAAAACGCTAATTCTATTCGTTTACAATTTAAGAAAATACCGCGATCTCTACAAGGGCCGAGGTTTCCTTGCTTTAATGACATTAACAACAAATTCTACAAGCCTACAGATAATAAAGCAAACGTCTTCAGTGTTAAAGAAGTTACCAACAAAAAAACTGTTCCACAGCTTATGAAAAAAAGAAGAAAATAAGTCATGTAATCGTTTCGGGCATGAAAGAGAACGCTGCGTCCAGAGTTGGCTAGGTAATGAGAATCAAGAGCCTATTTCATTAACCTGATAGCCTTTGACTTGGCCCTAGATCACAGACATCAAAGCTTCCCACTGTCTGCCTCTAATTTTCAGTCTAATCTTTGGGTGATTTTCCAATACGTTCTCTTCTTTAGTTTGAAATCTAATAATTTGGATCGCAATCTGTTTGGAATGCAATTGCCTAATGCATAAAAGCTGGTTTATACATAAGGGTTAAGTGAAGAAATTATTTCTTATTTGAGATGAGAAGCCATTGGGGCTTACAAATTTGCTTTCAATCCGGGGCTTTAGCTTCTTAGCCCCGCCTTTTTAATTGTTAGCCATTTGAGGAACATTCACCTGCTTCTACTTCTAACATATTCTATTCGTTGGTGATTGTAGTTCTGAAGAAATTCTTACTAAAAAATTTCTAACACCTATGACTGGTAAGTATTATGCGGTCTCCTTTATTCTTATCTTGTGTGTCTCATTTGTTTCTCAGTTTATATGCTGTGGCTTAGCTTCGTGTTGAGTTTCCCGGTATGTAAACTAAGCCTTCTGACTCAGTCTACCTCATCGTTACTCATGAGTATTATCAATACTCTTGAGGATATTATTTTCCGCATCATGTCTTGATACTATCCCATCTTTTGTAGTGTTATTAGGCTTTGTATCTTCAGTCTATCCCTGTGGCAGAATCCTCTCAGTCTATCCCTGTGGCAGAATCCTCTCAGTCTATTCCCCAGGCTCAGTTGTCTCAGTCAATTCCCATGGCTCAGTTCCCTCAGTCGATCCTTGCTTCTCGGTCCCTTCAATTCCAGGACTAGTCTTCTTAACAATCTGTACAATATTTCTTTCCTCGTTTCGTGTTTTTGGAGTTAGAAGCTGCACGCCGATACTATGTATTCAAGCACTGGTCGGGCACGTGGTTTAAACAGCGTTAAAACGCATACATTTTCTGGGTTAATGAAAGCTGGCAAGTCAAAGAGAGACAAAGTCTTGGAGGGGGGGGGGAGTTTGGTATCACGCCAGACCTGTC